CAGATGGAGGCAGAGGGGTACCTTGCTCTGGCCTCTCCATGCTGAGGAGAGCCACCCGACCCCTGACCCAGTCTCTGTAGGAAGGATAACTAGGCTTATGGGACAGAACCTCAACTTTAGCTAAGTGGTGGCCGATTCTCTGAGAGGGCCTAGAGGAGGCTGTACACCTGATCCTATACGTGTGCAAGGTCTACCCAGTGGGCATCTTCTAGAAGTGCAAGAGGTATTCCATGCCAGTGCAGGTGTCCTGCCATCAGGTGCTGAATATCCCATCCAAGTACTGACCAGGTCCGACCCTGCTTAGCTTCCGAGATTTAAAAACAAAACAGAACAAAAGCAAAGGAATCACAGAACCTAGCACAGAAGTTAGGTAAAGACTACTCAACAGACTTCATTTGTTTCTTTCTGCTTCCTAAAAAATGCAATGTTAACAGTTCTGTCCCTTTTCAGTGCACAAAGAAACCACTTTCTTTATTCATCATTAAATGCCTTTCACTTGCATTCTCTCATGTCCTTACTCAGCCAGCTGCCCCAGACACAGACCCAGAGATCCTCATTTCACCAACCTGCTGGACTAAGGGAGCAGCACATGGAGGTAAAGAAGACGGTGATTGGGAGGACAAATCGCCTCAGGACCCTCCCCAGCAGGCCAGTCACCCAGCATTTCAAGCACCGTGAGCTCCACTCAATGGATCAGGAAAACAAAACCAGGTTCTGCTTTCCATGGATTACTCCACAGAGCCCAAAAGGAAGACAAAAAGAGATGTAGCTTCCATTTCTGCACAACTGAAAATGTTATAAATAGATGGGAGACAGGTATACCCAGAGAAGACACGCTATCATAAAAATAAGTAATTAGACAACCAAGGAAGGAAAAAGGACTGCCAGAAAAGCCATTCTTACAAATAGTTAAAGAGTATGTTACAAGTATTCAAGTGATTCTGCTAAGCACTGAAATGCTTTTCTCCCAAATTTGCCTTTACTAACTGCCATTTCATAAATATTTGCAAGTTCATCTAAAAATGATGAGATACCATGTCTTTCTGATGATTGACAGGAATTCAGCTCACAAAACAAACTAAGTTGCAGGGAAGGAGGAGGCTGAGAAGGTGCCTATCCACCTGCCTGTTTTGGAAATACTTGGGTAGCTGAAAGAAGGGAAGAAAACCTGTGACTTTCAGAAAGATATTAAGGCAAAATCAGTTGTATTTTACCATTAGAGATCTCCTGCAGAGCTACCTGTCTCAGATTCAAAGCTAACTCAGCTCTGGAGTTAACTCCCCAGCAGACTGTGGCAGGATCAGCAACTGACAGGGACAGACTGCAGGATTCACGTAGCTCACATTTGCAGAGCTGAAAGTTCAAACAGCATAACTTACTGGCAAGGAAAATCCTGGCAGAGTCCCATGGCAGATGGTGTCACAGTTAGAACATGGGTTCGAAGGAGCCATCATGGTGAGGCAGAAGGCCAGGGAAAACTCAGGAGCTAGAATCACACTCTTGCAACAAACTCAGGGTTAAAGGAGATCTACATTAATCCCCTTCCAAAGATAAAACCTCACCCCCCCACTACAGCAATATGCATCTTCTTTTGATTGGAATGCAATTAGTAGTCATCATTCATAGTGTTCTGGTCTTGTTTAGTAACCAGCTTTCCAGCTGAAAAAGCCCAAGTCTGTAGTAATTTCTATGGTGCACATATTTTCACCATGACTCATTTCAACCTACCAACCTGAAATCATCATGGTAATAATTTAGAAAAGAAGCATGAAGTTTATGTTCTTAAGCTGGTGTCTGCTGGCAGTATTACATTAGAATGTAGAATATTTGGAAAGCATAGAAAAAGGTCTTGGAAAATCAGAGGAAGCATAATATTGTGGCTGACAATAAAATCATCTTTAATACAAGATTACATCTCCTTCTGATGTTTTCCCTATTCATTTTTATGTCATTGTTAACATTTGGTACGTAGAATTTTGAGTTTTGTTTCTATAATCATGAATGTGGTTTTATTTATTTTGTTGTTGTTGTGGGGTTTTTTGTTTGTTTGGTAAGAGAGCTGACCTGGTGCTTGGCAGGATTGAAGGTGGCCCTTGCCTCGGTGGCAGGTGCTTAGCCACTGAGCTGAATCCCAGGCCCCAGATGTGATTTCAATGGTTATTTATTTGACCAAATTGAAGTAGGGTTAATAGTGAACACTTAAGTAATATTTCCTCATGTTTGGTATTGTTTGAATAATGTGATATATCCTTAAAGAAAGATTTGGGTATAAATCTTCCTTCACATTTCTTGCTATTCATCTGTTGAATCAAATTATTGCAGTTATAAGTTTTGAAACAATACTTCCTGATATCACACACAAAAAAATGTTTTTACAGTACATGTTCTGGCCGACAGTATTTAGAAAGCAGGAGCCTGCCCGGCGGTGGGCGCCTCCTCTTGACCTCTCAAGAGATTTTTACCAGGGCCGCCTGCAGCAGGCTTTCCCAGATTGTTATGTGAACTCACTATTTAGCAGATCTCTCTCCTCGGCATCACGTTTCTCCATAGCATTTAGGGTTGTCTGAGCTTGTATGTGTTTTATTTGTTCAGAAAAAGCGTGGGTGCACAAAAGCAGTCATACTCCTTAGGTCAAGAAGAGTACAGGATGCTCTGTGGGGTTTTTCTTCCCTGTGTTTATTGAATGAGTATCTTCCAGCCCTATATGCAAAGGGTATTGTCTTTATAAAATCAATTTATGTTTTAATACTGAAGATTATTACATTTGCAGTAAATGTAGTTTTGTTTGTTTGCTTTCGTTTTTTGAGACAGGGTCTTGCTATATGGTTTAGGCTGGCCTTGAACTATGTAACCCAGACTGGCCTTGAATTCACAGCAATCCCCTGCCTCAGCCTCCTGAGTGCTCTGATTACAGGCCTGTGCCACCAATCCCAGCTTGCAGATTGCTTTTGAATATTGTGTTTTGGACAAACTAATTTAATGTTTTTATGTCAGTAAGTGGACTGGCTCCCAGGGTCCCTGCAGCTTCTTCTCAACATAGCTACCGGAGGTGCTCTGGGGAGCCAGAGGAACTCTTCCAGGGTAGGATGGAGGGAACCACTCAACTCCCTCTTTCTAGCATTCTGCAGAGCCTGAGCCGGCATCCTGGAACTGCTGGGGCTGCACAGGTACCAAGGTGAGGCCCTTACCTCCAGCGGCGACCCTGCCAGCAGCTCCACGCCCCGCATGGGGATTCTCTGCCTGAATTTGTCTGTTACTTTGGGGTAGAGATTGGCTTCTTCGCATAAAGTGTTGTGTTGTGTGTAATTCAGGTTACTTTTACCTTATTTAGACCAAGAATAAGTCCTCAAGTTCTTTGTTAATTTACTTTGCCATGAATAGCAAACACAGACTTACATTTCAATTAAGGTTTCTTTAAGCACATTTGAGGAGTAAGTGAAGTATGCTATTGACTGTGCCATACATTTGAATTTAATAAAACAACCTCCCTTGGGGGAGGCGAATTACCTTAAAACATTCTTATTTATAAGAATATCACTTATCACCTATGCTTCATTCCAACATTTTGTGTTGATTTTCTAACTTGTGACTAATATATAAAGAATTAATTTTCTTGTATCTGCTGATTGGATTTTTGTTGCTCTATAATTTTTTTTTTTTTTTTTTTTTTGTCTTTTTCGTATTTACCGGTACCGGGGATTGAACTCACGACTGCCTGCTTGCAAGGAAGGCACTTATGCCACTGAGCTAAATCCCCAGCCCCCTCTATAATGTTTTTAAATTTTAACTTAACTATTTTCCTCACGTTAAATCTGCAGGAGTCAAATCTCAATGGACATTTCTTTAAAATCTCCAGTATCTATTTTTAAAGCATTTTCCAATATGGACTAAATCTACTTGAGTTTATTTTTGTTATCACTACAAGTTCTGGTAAGATGTAAAGCAAATAAATGAAAATATAATAGAGTTTCCAGAAGTGGAAATATTAAGGACTGAAGTTAAATTTGTTAGTAGCCACATTTTTCCTGAAGCACCTGACAAGTGCTATTAGGACTGGAGAATGACCCTTTTATTGACAGTGGGGTGAGCCCCAGAGTGGCTACTTGATAAATATTTGTACGTTGAATCACACTGAACCTTAGGGCTTGAGACCTTTCCAGGCAAGTATCCCCTTGGTCTCGCAATATTGGTGTCAAATCAGTCATCCCAAAGAGGTTCCCTGGAGAAAGGCTTCTTTCCCTTCCTAAAGGTACCCTAACTCACAAGGAGACATCATAGTCAAACTGACCTGTGTTTCACAGGTGGCGCAATGTGGTACACGTAACAGATTTTTCAACAGTGCTCACCCAGTGGATCCTGCCTCAGCCACTCTGTATCCACAACAGCAAAACTATTCCCTCCACACCCTTCTGAGTACTAACTCAGCTGTGAGCTACTTGAAGCAGTAATGGGGCAGGGGGTTAACTATCATTATTGACAAAGTATTCTTTAAATCTTTTTAATGTAATACAAGTAGATATCAATAAAGTATACAAAAACACTTCTATAAAAAAGCTTTGTAACAAAATAATTTAAAAAACAATAATGGTTAATATATTATGTACAAGATCTTAAACAAATAGCCAAAATGTTACTCACAGTACAAATTTTAGAAACCCTTCTCTCTTACAGAGAAGAAACAAATAAAAGGACAGATTTTTCTTTTCAAAAACAAAAACAAACCAGTAATATAAGTGAAACGAAGTAACATATATCTTAACATACTTTTAAAACAATGGAATAGATAATTTAGGAAATTACTTGAACTTCTCCTTACTTCCTATTTATCTACCCTCTACTTTGCTCTCTCTCTCTCTCTCTCTCTCTCTCTCTCTCTCTCTCTCTCACCCCCTCTATACATATATCTATTTCTATTTTATAGATATAGATATATTTTGATATATATACTTAAAAATGACAGCTGAAATGAAATACACTCAGAAGAAGAAGTATAAATGGCCAATAAATAACTAAAAATGTTCAACATCTCTGGCCATTAGAGAAATGCAGAGAACAACAACACTGAGATTCCACCTTACTCGGGAAAGATGCCTATTATTAAAAAAAAATCAAATAACAAATGCCGACAAGGCTATAGGGAAAAGGAACCCTTTTACACTGTTGGTGGGAATATGAAGTAGTAAACCACTATGGAAATTCCTCCAAAAAATCTAAATTAGAAACTCCATTTGACCCCCTATTTGCCTTCTGGCTGTCTTCCTGAAACAATGGAGGACGCCACATTACAGCGATCCATGAATACCCATGTTCTAGCAGCCATTCACAGTAGCTGACTCCTGGAAGTGGCGAATATGTTCATCGACAGAGGAGTGGATACAGAAATGTGCAGCACACAATGGGGCACTACTCTGCCACAAAGGAGGATAAACCTGGGTTATATGTGGGAAATGGCTGCACCTTGAGAACATAATTGTAAGTGAAATAAAGCTTCAGTATCACATGGTTTCTCTAATGTAGAAAACCCAAAATATAAATAAGGAGCAAAATAAAAGATGGAAAGTAGGAAATAGGGAACAGATCTTTTTGCAAATGGGGAGGAAACCAAGAAAAGGGACATGGGAGTAGGCGGGTAGGGAATAAAAAATAATTAAAAGGTTTATGCACATGTATACCAACTCCTCAGAAGGAATGTAATCATTATATGCAGCAAATATACTAGTAAAAAAGTGAAAAAAATCTTTTATAAAAATAGTGTTTTAAATAAATGACATCTCAGCTAAGTTCTAGATTTTACAAATTTTTCTACTTTTCAAGAGGCTTGAGAGCTTTTCAAATAAACAAAAAACTTTTATGAAAATATAAGATGTTTTAAGTGAAGAATATTTGAGAATGGTGAAATCAGGACCCCAAAATAAAGCTGAGCAGATCACTGTCAAGCTCCCTATGAGGAACTGGTCATGTTTTAGCAGTGAAATAAAGTAAATAGCTTTGAATAACTAATGTAAATCCTTCTTTTCCCAAAAACATATTTGGTGTTCCCAAAAATGACACTTCCTGTGCAGAACACAGAAAGCTCAACTCTCGTTCTCAGAAGGAAGATTTGCTTTTTATTTTGCTCTAGAGACCTAATCTCCATCACGAGAGCTCTTCCTATCTGTGTTACTGACTGTGCTGAGGGCTCTTGTCAGAGAATGTACTACTGTCCCCTCAGAGGCTGTTAGGCTGAATTTTCTTTTGTAGGCAGTTTTTCCTTTATGAAATGCTGAAGGAGTATCTCTTCACGTAGGACAGTCAGGTCTCTGATCCCAGTGTCTTCAGCAGGTGTGAGGGTGCCTGGAGGTACCTGAAGACGAGAACTTTGTTGCTGAACCTGTGGAGGCCCAAGAGATTGCAGAACCATCCAGGGATGCCAGAGACAGCAGCCGCCTGACATTAGCTGCTGCAGTGTTACACACCTCACAGAGCGGGTCCGGACACAGCAGTTGTCGAAAGCGTGTGGTGTCATAACACTGACCCAGGGGGCTGCAGGAGACAGAAAGTACAAAGATTCTTCTAGGACCGGCACAAGGAAAAGAAGACCTGTTCTCCTAGCGACAAGGCCCCCTGATGCCTGCACCTACTTCCCAGTGCCCCACATCCCTGACTTTACAAAACACCCCACAGCTTCTGTGCAAGGGCATTATCCACATACCAGCTACCACCATAGGTACTCCTCCCATGATTTCAAAGGCTGCCTTAATCCCTTGGAGCATAGAGCAAGTGAAAAAAGGAACCAGGAAGGAAATGAAAAGAGCACTCACCTCCTGAGAACAGAAAGCAACTTCCTCCCCTCCTCTGCTTCTCTTTGCCAAATTTTCTGACCTGGAATGATTACACAGTAGATTATATGCAATCAAGGCACATCACAGAGATTGCATAGTAATCTCTTGCCTGGGAAATACAATTTTAAATTACGAAAGTCATAAGAATTGGTAGACAAAGTTAGATGGTAACAGATGATACAAAGAACATTCATGTGTGTATGGCTTTGTTTATAAAGTACTGTCACATACATAATCCAGTGGAATGTGCAAAACAACCCTGTGAAATGCAGAGCTCACATGAGTCTGAGCACCCAGGAATAAAGTACTTTCCATGATATCAGGAGTCAGAAGATCTGACTCCAAAGTGATGAAATGTCCTTCCTGACATCTCACACAGCCAGCTTTAGGGCAGCACCTACTGTCCCGGTCCATCACTTCCTCATAGCTTTGGTGGCAGAGCTAGGACTTTGAGAAGTGTCTTAGCTATGACTGCCTTCCTGTGTCTCTCCTTTCTAGCAGCTGACATCCCCAGAGGTCATGGATTTGGGAACTCCTAAGAGGAATCATCCTTGAAGAGGCCATGGTAAGTAGGAAGGAACCTACCTTTAAGTGTTGTACCTCTCCTCCTCCTCTTGGATCTCCCATGTTGCTGAGAACAAAAAGAATAGAATAAAGGGTTGGGACAAAATTCTATTACTCCTCTTTTTAGGAAGCTCAGACTTTCATTATCAAAGAACAGAGTACTTTCCATTTTAATTAATAGAGTACTTTTTGTTATCATTTAATGGTGATCAAGTGTGGTTTTTTTATATTTGTTTTTGTTTATTTAAAAAACTCAGTGGAAGAGTGTTATAGTTTGGGTCCAGAAGTTCTCTCCACAGCCTCATGCGGTCATCTAGCTGTGGTCTAGATCCAGAGGTAACTGGATCTAGAGTGTGTGGCGCTGGGATCAAGAATGTGTGATTAGTAAATCAGTCCATCAATTGGTATGGCATGGTTCTGGCTAGAATTAAGGGTGTAAGGGCTACACCTGACTTAGAGCAAGTACCATGCATACAATATAAGGGACAGGAAGAGACTTGTCCCTCCCTCCCATGTTGCTTTTGCTATGCTCTGGGCACCATGAACTCTTGCCTCTGTGATGGCCCTCTGCCAAGCCACCTTTCCTTGGAGCCAGCTGATTATGGACTGAAGCCACAACAAATTGAGCTAAATAAACCTTTTCTCCTTTAACTTGGGGTATCAGGTGTTTTGTCTCGGCAACAAGAGAAAAGTAACTCAAAGAGTTTGTCTCTGATGTTCTCAATCAGAAGTCATCTTCTCAAGGAGCACATGTGATCTGAAGCTAACAGTCACATCCCTCAGAGGGGGATGAAGCTAACAGTCACATCCCTCCAGCTCTGTTCAGATGCTCTCTGAGGTTGGTACTGCTCTCCTAACCAGCTCAACGGGAAAGAAGGCTTTGTGAAGAACACCTGACATGGGAATGGGGCTCATGACCAAGTGTTAGGAGAGACCGCTTTTCAGAGAGCACACAGTCTGTAACTCAGCCAGTCAGGACAGTGAATCCCTGTCAAGGAGGGGTCTTGTTTCAATTTCCCATCTCAAGTATCTTCCTGGATCTCCAGACTCATTTAGGGGTATGCAGAATGGAACAGGGAAACAAAGAGTGCTTGCTCCATTTCTGCCATTAAGGAACTTGAAAACTAAACTGAAACACATTCCTTGCAAACATCAGAAAATGGAAATAATTTCTGAGAAGGTGAGTAAAAATGATCATAGTCAAGATCTGCTTCCCTAGACCATAAACTGGCTGGAACACTTAAATGTATGCTTTGTTGTATTGCTGGAGCATGTGTATATGCTAGCATCAGAGTGAAAACTTCCAAGGGTCACAACTTTAGAGAGATCTCAGGTTCATGGATGTTTTGTTCAGGGCGTAAGTGCCTGACTGGTAAGCACAAGATCATGAGTTCAATCCCTGGTACAAAGAAAAAAAAAAGATCCAAGTTGTTGATTCTTGGTGATAATTTCAGTGTGATCAGTGTTTTATTCATAAAGTCTTTCCTACACCAGTGTCTTTAAGAATTCTACCTTTCTATTGTCAGCAGATTTAACGTTTGTTTTAATATTTAGATCTTTGATCCATTTTTAGCTTAGTGCATGGTGAAAATACGGGTCCAATTTTAACCTTCATTGTGTGCAAAGTCAGTTTTTCCAACACCATTTATTAAAGTGGCTATCTTAAGGCAGAGCTAAAGATGGTGGATCAGTCAGCAGCAAAATACAGGGCCTCCTTGAGAGAAACAACTCAGATGCCAGAATAGAACATCCTGGAGAAGACCAGACAAAGGGAGATGGACCCTCTTGATCCAGGAAGAAACTAAGGGAAATGAACTGGTCAAAGGAGTGGTCGCAGGGCTACCATCAGCACTCTCCTGGAGCCACCCAAACTCACTGCCAGAGCCACAGTCATGCTGAGGTCAGGGGTCAGTGAGCCCAACAGAGAAAGGAGCCATCATGGAGACCTGCACTAACCTGCAGTGAGTGCTCAGAATAAGATCCTCCCATGGGAAAGGGGTGACCAACTGGACAACACATTGGAATTAGGCGGGATGGACATGCTCCCTGCCCAGAGCAGATTGGTGGGATCTTCTTGGCCTGGGCCAGGACCCAATAAGTTGTCCTAAAGTGATTCTGTATGCACAGCAGACACTAACATGGTGAAGGATCCTGCTGGTTGAATAGCTCATGGGGAGGGGCTAGCATACCCCACCCCTGCTTGCACCTCAATGACCAACAGCAAACTGGAGAAGGCAGAAATCCCTAGCCAGCACACTTCAGAAGAGCCATAACCAACAAAGAAAGGGGCTGGGACCTCCACTATACACCTGTATGGAAGAAGCCAAAAACATGACAAGAGAAAGAAATAAGAAAAAGCCCCCAGCCCCCAACCCTGCAAATATTGATCCAGGAGAGGTAAATACAAAAGATATTGAGGACAGCAAATATGAAATATCAGACATGGCATCAGTGGACATAAAAAGATATCTTCATGACATCATTGACAAGCTCAAAACTGAAATATTAACTCAAGCAAGATATAAGATTAATAAAAGAAATGCTAAGCATCTCTCAAGAAGACACAGATGGAAGAATGGAGGAACACAAAAAAAGGAGAGAAACATTCAATAAAGAATAGAAAGAAAACTTAGAATACATGAAACACATTCAAAGAGATTACCAGGCAATTAAAAACTTCATTGAAAGCTGGAAAAACTGCCTGACAGAAACTAGAGATAGATTAATAAAACTTGAAGATAGGTTTGCAGTGTTTGATTACAAAAGATCTCTTAAAAATAACAAGGAAACAAGCAGTAACAATACAAAGGCTAGAAGATGACAAGAGGATCTATAACTTAAGACTAAAAAATGTGAGTTAAGAAGCAGGGGTAAACACAAAGGAAATAAAAAGGCTAGTCACAGAAATAATTAAGGAAAACTTCCCAAGCATAAGAAAAGGAAATGATATTCAGATGTATAAGGCATACAGAACTCGAGCCACCTACAACCAAAACAGAGCTACACCCAGACATATAATAATCAAGATCCCAGAAATTCATCACAAGAATAGAATATTAAAAGTGGTCAGAGAAAAGAAACAGATAGATCACCTATAAAGGAAAACCCATCAAAATCACAGCAGACTTCTTGACACAAACCATCAAATCAAGATGAGTGTGGAGCAAAGTATACCAAGCTCTGAAAGAAAATAACCTCCAATCCAGATTGCTGTATCCTGAAAAACTGTCTCTCAGGATTGATGGAGAAAGAAGATGCTTCCATGACAAAGAGGAACTGGGGGAATTCATGGCCACCAATCCAACCCTACAAAAAATACTGAAGGACATTCTAGAGAGGGAGAAAAAAGTACCAGGATTTCAGGAACAGTGGCAGAAAGATCTCAATGAATGGGGAAGACAGTGGAATGAAGGAGAAAAGTAGACAATGGAAGAAAAATAACATAGCAGAAATGAGGCAGAGGAGGTTGGCTATAATCTCTAACACAGATGGCCTTGCTACACTAATAAAAAGAAACACAGGCAGAGTAGAGCAGGAGGTAGGATCCACCAAGATACTCTGTATAGGAAATATAATTAACCTGAAAGAGGGTTTATCGGCTGAGAATCAAATATGAGAAAACAATGCTCTATGTGACAAGAAACCAGAGAAAAATAGGGGTAACTTGACCAGCAGATAGGTTGGGAAGACAGGACATTTTTGTGCAATAGAGAACTACTCAGCTATAATAAAGGAAAACCTGGAGGTTTTTAAAGGTAAAGGAATACAATTTGAGATCAACTCAAGGAATGAGGAGGTTCAGAACCACTTAGGTAAACAGCAGGTTGCCCCACAATCTAAAATCTGAGGGAGTTGGTGGGACCTAAAATATGCAGTGCACCCAGAGAGTGAAAGGGAAAGAACTGTCTAAAAAAGGAAGGCAGAGGATATTGTTAATAGTGTATCAGGATTTAAAACCCACATTACTCTCACCACTCTGTTTAGATGGATTATATTCTGTTCCAGTTTGTCCACTTGTACTAGATTTGAGGGCACAGACAGCTATCCCGAAAATAGCAAGATAGTGCAGTAATCATCCTTAATTTCCTACTCACTTAATCTGAAGCCCTGTATAACTTACACTGTCTTATTATGACAGATCTGATTTGAATCTGGTTTGTTAGATTGCTGTTTTGTATTGACTGATTTTATTTGAATCTGTTATGATTGATAATATCAAGTCAGAGAGTATAGGCAACTACACCGAAGATGACAAGATTCACTAGGATACCACTCTGGTTTGATTATTACCTGCTTTGGAAGTCTTATAATGTCTCCAATGTTTTTTATTAATATTGTTATGTACTGCTATATTTAATTATACTATGCTTGCTGATATAGACAATTCTATTGAAGACAACAAGAGACATCATAGTAACCATTGTAGATCACCTTGTATTGCAGTTTTATATGACTTTCATTTCATGTTTTCCTAGGAATGTGTTTTGGTTTCTCATGCTTCGTTTTGTTTTCCCCTCTAATACAGAAAGGATAGATATACATGTAGAGTCTCAGGCATGCACAGAACTTACAGTTTATGAGAACTAATTATATAATGCATGATGAAATGAGCAACTACTTTGAAGAAAAAGAGACATGATAGTACCCACTGCTGATTCCGTAGCGTCATGATGTGAAATCCAGCAGTACTGTTATTCTTTGCTCAGAGTGATTTTAGTTTGTTTTGTTTTGTTTTGTTTAATTTAGGTCCCTTTTGATTCCAAATGAATTTTAGGATTGTTTTCTCTAATTCTGTGAGATATGTTTTGGAAGTATGGCCATTTAGAAAACAGCCATGAGAAACCCCTCATGTTTTTAACAGGAAAAAAAGAAAGATGTCCGTTTTGAATTGTATTTTTATCATTCTCCATAATAGAAGAGGACATCTGTAGCAGAGCCTTAGCTCCCATAAGAGAAGGGAGTTGCTTAACTTTAGCTCTTTCTAGGCTTCCAGTCTCACCTAAATTGTGGGGAAGAAAGCTATAAACAGTGGTAAACGTTACAACCCAGCAAAGATGAGATTTAATC